AGAGAGAGAGAGAGAGAGAGAGAGAGAGAGAGAGAGAAGAGAAAGAGAAAAAGAAAATGGTGTGAAGGGAAGAAAACGTGGACAAAATAGAGCCACCGTTGCAGTACATTTGCAAGTGGAAAAACCTGTTTCCAGCATAGATAAGGCCTCGACGAGGGCTTGCCTCAAAGCGGCAACACAGAGGTGAAAGACGGATTGAGTCTTTTGTAGTCTCACGAAGAACATATTCTCTTTTATCTGTTAGATTAGGCAACATCTTACATAACGCTGCACTGACTGACCTTTATACAGTTTTTATCCATCAGTCTATTTTCTTCTGGGTTATTAAACGTTTGGGTTTCATAGCGTATGCAAAGTCCACTTTCAGAAAACAGTATTGATGAAAACACTGTTAACAGATTCAGCAATTTTTAAAAAAGTGAAAGGAGAAAACATATTCTTCTCTTTTTTTGTTGGAAAGTTTCCATCTTGCAGAGAAAAGAGAAAAAGACAACATTTCCATAACAATTCCCCACAAAACCGCTACTATATTATCCGTTTGGTAAACAATCAGCGGGATGCTTTTATTCAACTGACAAGGTCTCAAAATGTTACTTGTTTATGTGTGCTAACACTCCGTGAAAGAAAAAAGTGAATATAAGGCGTGCCAGTTACCGTCTGCTGCGCCTTTATTGAAATATTTCTAGATTACTTTTCTGCGGTTTTATTTTTTTAAATAGTTAAAGCAAACCGTGGAAAAACTGTTGCAAGATAGGCCTACCGTGTTGTCGAGTTGTCATTGAAGGTAAGTTCTCATATACGGACCTCCCTTCGCTATGAATCGTATCAGGAAAATAAAACCACTTAAAAACAAATAAATGAGTCGACCAGCCAAACAGAAGCCCAAAACCACACGAGTTGTTAATTACATATGAACGAGCAATATATATTTTTTAATTAGAAAAGGGCATCGACATCGAATTAAAAAACACTATCTTAATCTGCTAAGCAACCAAAAAATTAATGATGTTAGATAATTCCTTCGCCACCTCAGAATTACAAAGTTTTATATGCTCAGTACTTAGCTTTGAGAAATTTGACATTACAATTTTTGAGTTTCACGATTTGTCAAGATTTTTCGACAGGAATTCTTTAAATATATTGATAACAACTCCAAATAATCTTACGATTTTGATAGAGCAGGCAGAACAATTAGTTTCTGACTTCATGGTCTTAGTAACTCAAAACGGCCAAAAATGTCAGATAGAACTTGGCAATTCTGAGATCGCCACTTATAGGTAGTACATCTTCGTATTTCGTCTGTTAATTCTGTCTGTATTTCTTGCCTTCCCGTAGTACTTATTGGCCTTCACTGTCTTGATACGCTGGCGACCTTTGCCTTTACTATAAATAAATTGGACAAACATAATACAGACAACAAAAATGGACGAGAGCATTAAGTATATTTCTTTAACCGGTATTTGTTTCAACTTTACTTTTCCACCGCAAGTATTAGCCTCACCAATGCGTTTTGGTGCATGAAATTAGGACTTCCATTACTACCGTGATACTGTCAGAATCCAGTATTTTTAAGGATGGGGGAAAAAAGGCCATCAACATGGTTGCTGTTATTTAGAGCCAGGAAAAGGTGGAAAGGCAACACAGACAGGTAAACACAAAGAAAGAAGGGAGGTACAGCGAAGAAGGAGCCACCCCATGGTGCCCTCCTACCATCCACTTCAGAACTGAAACATTCGAGCAGCTGTTGACAAAAGA